TCCCTTTATTTGGGAGGAATACAGCAGGATAAAACAAACAGTATTGTATTGCAAAAATAATCATTCAATATTAAATTATTATTAAAAAGTTATCCTTTAGCATCCATAAAACAAAACAAACTGAATGAGATTCTGGAATAAAATTGCTTAGTTTGTTTATAAAATGCCATCAGTACTTGCAGGCCCATAGCTCGTCAATCTCATGAGGAAGGAGAACATGCACAGGTTTTCTCTTAATGATTTGACCATATAGACAGATTTGGTTCACCAAAGGGACATGCAAGTGCTATCAAAGCCATCTTCCTCAACTCATTAATGTTTTTATGAAATTGCCCTAGAAAAGAACTACTTCCTTTTCAGTTTTGTTACATAGACCTAACCCTTGTTCTACTTAATAGTCAGTTAAAATGAATTAGAAATACTTTAATTTATTCATAAGATGACCAAGGAAATATTAACCATATGGTGCAAAAGAAGAAATGGATTTTGTGTTTATAACTACTTCCTGTGGCATAGAGTGCATTGATCAGCCAAGATGTACTTTACATACTGGGCATCATGCCTTTGGTAACCTAAATAAATCTGCCACATATTGAAAACAAACTGATGTTTATTTCATACTGCATCCAAAGTTTGGGTTTTCTCAATTGAGGACTATAATATAATATAATATAATATAATATAATATAATATAATGTAATGTAATGTAATGTAATGTAATGTAATGTAATGTAATGTAATATTAGACATCTTTATGATCTGTTAAATTCACCATATTTCTTAGCTTACAGACAATTACAGTATTTTTTTAAATTTCAGTTTATAACTCACAATTTGAACTCTATATAACAATAATTGTTAATAACTGCATTGCTAGATTAATACATTACCTTAAAATATTTAATTGACATAAATTATTCCAAAGTACCAATTTAGATGTCATTTTGAAATTTTAGGTCATTTCGTAATGCTTGTACATTTTATATCTACTTTTTGTTATTTTTATGTTTCTATCATTTTTCTTCTGAACTTAAATACAATAATAGAAACAATACAAAACAAGCCACGTCTACAAGAAAATTGTATTATTGAAGAAAGTTGTATTATCCTACTCTATAAATTATTGAAGTCAGACTTCAATGTTATACCTGGAAATAAGGTATAAAGTTTTCTATTGTGCTTACTTCAAAGTTGATTGTAAACCTCTTGGAGCAAAGTGCATATTGAAAAATTACACATACACTACTAGTATTAAGGCAAGGGAATGATTATTTAATGAGATAGCTTCATTGTTTGTAACATCTATCTCCTTGCCCCTGAATCATAATACTAATGCTTTTAATTGTAGAATTTTTGTTTATATTGCTATTTTAGTTTTTATTGTATATCTCCCGAAGTTAAATTGTGTGAGAAGGGTGGCCATATAAATATGAAAAATAAATAAAATAAACAGATCACTTTAATGACGCCTTTACAATAGAGTTGCTATCAGCCTTTTGTATGACAATGCTTACTTAATAAGCATTTTTTAAAAGAACTGTAAAGGTTTTAAAGACCTTACATTTAGGTTACAAGGTGATTCTTTAAGTTGACTTATCTGCAATATCAAATTTCACAGATTGTATCATGAGAACACAGTAGGTAATACCTGAAGATGGCAAAAATTGATTTTTTTTTTTTCTCCATGGTGGAAAAAAAAATCACTTTCTAGTTTGGAAGATTAACAGCATTACCATATTCACTCTTAGTTTCAAGTAACCCAAAAGTTTCAAGTAACCTGAAAACTGAAGCAATCAATGGCAAATCATTTTGAACTCCACTAACACTGTTCATAAACTTACTAGGACAGGGTAAGGTTACTAGGTCAAACTCAAGGACCGGGGGCTGGATCCGGCCCACAGGGTGCTTATATCTAGCACGTGAAACCTGGAAACAGTGAAGGACTGGCCCACGGTGCCTCTGGCAGTAAAAATGGAGCGGCCCTTCCAAGCTCCATTTTTCACTGGCAGAGATTTGCAGGAGGCTGTCATAGCTGAAAACAGAGCTTGGGAGCCTGTTTTCGCTGGCAGAATACTCGGTTACCACAGGTGCCCCCAACACGAGTGACATCGATCTGACCACACACACCCTGGCCACACACACCCCACTCCCCTGAGGTGAAACACAATGCTGATGTGGCCCTCAATGAAATCGAGTTTGACACCCCTGTACTAGGACTTAAACTGAGGAATACTTTTTTTCTTAGAAACTATGAGACCCTACAGAGATTATTGAGGTATAACCAGTGGTGGGATTCAGCCAGTTAGCACCACTTCAGGAGAACCGGTTGTTAACTTTCTGAGCAGTTTGGCAAACTAGTTGTTGGAAGAAATCATTAGGGCAGAGAACCGGTTGTTAAACTACTTGAATCCCATCATTGAGTACAACTCCTTAATATTGCTTTCATTATTGCTGATGCAAATTAAGACCACTACAGTAATGCTACAGTAAAGTTGATCAATCTCTAGAAGAGCATTATTATCCTGCTTTACAAGGGATTAGATGAATATATGAGAGATACATCAACTAAGGCCTATTTATCTTCAAATGTTCAGAGATAACATGCCTCTAAGCGGTGGATGCTTGGGATTAAAAATAGGGGAGCATCATGTGCTGTCTACAAACATTATAATGATGAAATGTTCTGAGCTCAAAATGGCCATTGTCAGTGTTCTGAATATGAAACACAACATACATTATGAAAGATTTGTTTCAAGTGTGAAACAAAACATGGTTGTTTTGAGAGGCACGAGTTCGAGCATGAACACTCAAATCATGTTTTATTTGAATTGCTGCAACTATAAAATAATTGCTTGGAATTTTCCAAGTTTGGAATAAAATACATCTTCTATATGATGCATAGCTCTACTCCATTTTTTTTTATTTCCTACTAAAGTCATTTGTTATACACTATTGAACATGATGCCACAATTGATACAGCAATACTTGTTTTAATATATTTTCAATATACACCTGTACTTTAAAATATCCTTGACCCAACATAAAAGAATTCTAAGCTTACATATTAATTTAAGCTAACACACCATGCTCAGTTGTGAGGAATTCTGGGAGATGTAGTTCTGTGAAAATGAGACATTCCTCATCTCTATTTTATCCCCATTATTGCTGTCAAGGTAGAAACCCTCCAATATAAAGTGACAGATGGTTACACTGACATCTTAAATTTATTAAATGGCTCTGGGTCTGTCATGGAAAAGGTCATGTTTACTCCATGCTCCTGTGTTTTATGGTAAGTTCTACAGTTAGGGGTCATATCTTACAGGCAAGCTTTTAAAGTTACAAATCAAAGTGATTTATTTGGGCAATGTATTTCCAAAGCATTGCACTTTCCGCTATAAGAGGACCAAAAAATAAAAAAAAATCCATACCTTATTTTCCATTCCTTGGCATGAATGCAATTTAAATGTAATTCAGGAAATAATTTTTTGCCTAACTAATGGGCTAATAGAAATGGACTTTCTAAGGGACTATGAGCATCCTATTTCCCTTCATTTACCCATCTGCTGCTAATTAAATGAATGATATCAAGCATACTGTCACATGCATAGAATCATTTCACACTATCACCTAGATTTAATGGTTTCTTTTTTCCAGGAAATAAATAAAGCAAGACAACCGAACAGTGGAAAGGATTCTGTCCAAGCTGGGTAGCAAAATATCTATTCCCTTGCCAGAAGCCAAGGATTTAATCAGAACTGGGATATTTAAAAAAATAAAACATATCAAAAAAAAAAAGGGGGGGGGCCAAAACTAAGTTAATATTTTAATACTTTTAGTTTATTTGAATTTTTGTAATTTTAATCCATTTTATGATTGTTATTATATTTTCTTCTGTAGTAAATCTGATAAGACATGTAACAAGGATTAATATTTTCCTGGTCCTTTATGATAACATTTACATCATACAAAACTAAGCTTCCTATATTATATTCATGCATATGTTTGGATGCAAATACTTGGATCGGATCCAACAAAGATTTGTTTAATTCCATCTATTGGCTTACAATACGTGGATGTAAGCCAATATACAGTTTCTACACCCTATAAATTGAAAGTTGGAAGCAAATGTTACAGTTTTTAATGCAACTTGTTTCATAAAATAAAGACAAAAGTTTTATATTAGTTATGTCTAACCATTTCTCATTTGTAAATCAAAAGGCAGTGGGAAATGTAGAAACACAATTTTTAACTTTAAATGCATCTCTTCAGTATGGGAAATTTTATCTATTGAAGGTTGCACAACAGTTTTGATTTAATACATAAAGATTAAGCAATCTAGTACCTTCCAGATGTTTGAGATTCCAGCCACAATCAGCTGCAACCAGCATAGCCAAAGGCAAGGGAGAGTAACAGATTGCATGCCCTTGGAATAAATTACTGGAGTTTGTAGAACAAGAATGGACAATGCCTATACCTGAGATCTTTGAAACAGAGCTGAATATCTAAACATAAATCTGGCATCATTTAATTTATGTATGCAGTGCCTTCTTCAAGCAGAACTATTTAGCAGATTGAGAAAGAACCATACATATTCTTAACTCAATAATACAACAATAATATAAATAGTTCATGTCTTGAATTTAGCACAATGATTTCCATTATCAAGGATAAAATGCAAAAAGTGAAAGCAAACACACCAGATGTAAGGAAGCAGAGCATCCCCAATTTAGAAGGGTCTGGTAGAGCAGGGGTGTCAAACTTGTGTGACGTTTTATGACTTTTTCCCCTTTGCTAAACCGGGATGGGCGTGGCCAGCGCGTGATGCATCCGGGCCGCGGGCCGCAAGTTTGAAACCCCTGAGGTAGAGTCAATAGTAAATATCTGTAAATATGAAAGACCAAAGCAATGGGATTCTGATTCCAATTCATTAATTGGGCCCATGATCCCAATCTCGTGAGCCTCTATGAAATTGCAGGTAGGTGACATTTATTGTTACTTACCTCAATGTAAGGTACAATTTTGCAGGAGAAATCCTCCAACAGCCACTTTTTGGTGAGTTCTTGGAAGATCACCAGAGGCAGGCAGAAAAAAATTATAAGGAAATCCCAAAAGGCTAAGTTGGCCAGCAAAGAGTTGGAGATGCTCCTCATATAGTAGTTATGGCAGACAATGCACATCACTGCCATGTTCCCCATTATCCCAATGCCAAAGATTATTATTGACAAACACATGACTGCGTAGGCACCATAGGACTCCTGAGTCAGTGGGTAAAAAGGATTCTTTACATGAGGTGGTTGGAAGGTCCCATTTCTGAGGGCAGCAGGTTCCCTTCCTGCCATGTGACTGGCTGAGCCATTCAAGGGTAATGCCTGAGGCACAACATTCCCCACAACTCCATGAAAGGGAGTTGTCTGACTATCCACTGAGATATTGAAGACACTGACGTGGTGCCTGTTCTTGAAAGTTTTACTTTTTCTTGCTTCTCTTGTATCCTGGGACTCACCAGCCCCCCGCTTGCTTCTTGGATATTTCCTGCGCCCAATTCTTGCTGAGCTCTTCTCCCACTCTTCAGCCTTCAGAGCACTTCTGGTCCTCAAGGCTACAGAAGAATCTCGCCTCAAATGACTTTCGTCTTTTTTTCCCAAGTGACCCCCAGCCCCTTGCACACCTTCTCCATGCTTGACAGTCTGAGTGACCGTCCAGTCTTTGCGGGCATCACTATAATCCTTCAATGGAGCCCAGCCCTCCTGACCTCCAGCCTTAGCCTGGAGTCTGACTGGATGCTCTTTGGGTAAGGAAATCTCAGGAATGCCACCTAAGTGCCCCACAACCCAAGCTGCTTCTTGTTTGTGGGCCACTTGTTGAAGTAGCGGAGGAGCTGTCTGGCACCACAATTCACACTCCCGACCTTTTCTGACAACACCATCTCTGTTTAATGTTGCTTGGGCAAAGATATACAGCGTGCCCATATGCCACAGCCAGCCAAATGTCGCTTTGAGAAGATGCATGGTCAGCCAAGGACCTGGTAGGTAGCCTCCAACCACACCCTTAGTAACAGTGTTTGCCCAAGCTGGAAGAGCTGCCACTTAAACTCATTTCACCAACCGATTCCCAAGCAGAAGAAAGGCGAGGAATCTCTTTTTGTCGAGAAATAAACCCTGATGATTTCCTCGAGAGGTGTCAAGTTCGAGTCATGCCCTCACCACATGGCCCCGCCGTTTCAAGAAGGAGCAATTAAAAGATGAGGAGGAACTAACCTCCTCCCCCTCCTCCTCCGAAGAAAATAATAAAACCACGAAATAAGAAATCCCCTTTCCGGGCGGGAGAGTTTTCTTCCGTCCCCCAGTTAACCCGCGGGGGAGAAATCAAAGAAAGTTGCATCAATCGCGGCTTCGGGATCGCGAAGAAAGATTCCCCGCTGGAGATACACTCCCTGCCTCGCTCGGTGTGCGCTCCGCCTTTTCCCAGCGATTGTCGCCTTGGACTGCCCGGCTTTGCCGTCCTCCCCTAGCCGCTCGCCGGCGGGCGAGGTACGATCCTTGGGGCGAGGGCGGACAATCGCCCCCTCGCCCTCTCGGTCCGGAGGCGCAACGGAGCTCCCTCAGGCACTTTCCCCGGAGGCAGGTGAAGCCCGCGGAAGGGCTGGTCCTTGTGGCGAACCGAACAAGAGCTGGGGTGAGGCTGGTCCTTAGCGGCTGAGGCGGGGTGGGTCGCCAGCAGTGAAGAAGAGGCGACTCTTCGCTTTGGAGGGAGCGGTTCGTTCGTCCCCCGCTAAAGGGGGAGCCCACAAAGTTGCTTCCACGGGGTCAGATACGAGCAGGTTGGGAGCAGCGCCGCTCGAGAGCCGACAACATGTTGCTCCTCCCGCCCTACCTGCGCCTGCCAGCCGGGCACGAAAAGGGGGCAGCTTCTGAATCTGCGGACTGGAGACAGCCTCGCGCTGAGGGGGGTGGGTGGGAAGGACACGGGGCGGCGACTGTTGTTCTGTCGCGGCCGGTGGAAATTCCCGCTCGACTCCCTTTCCTTTTCTCTCGCTTTCTTTCTTTCTTTGCCTCAGGCTCCAGAGGCGGGCAAACGGCTTCCCCTGGCGGCTGCCGCTCCTCCGCTAAGCTTCACCTCACATCTCCGCTCGCGCTTGGGAGTAAAGGTGGGGAAAGGAGGGAGGGAGCGGGGAGAAGAGGCTGGAGGTCTCCGAGTGCGCACGCGCCGCGCTTCCCTGGCTTCGGGCAGTCCAGCGCTTCTTTCTCTGTGAAGCGGCTCCGGAATGGAAGCCGTGAGAGGGGAGAGGACGCGGCGGGGGGCAGAACTCGTTGCTCCTTGCCTCTCTTGGTTCCTAAGACAAAAGCAGGACCTTCCTCCTTCTTGTTGATCTTTTGCAGAGGCGTCCCACGCACCCACGCCGGGTAATAGAAGAGCCAAGGCCACGTAAATGCGAGCCCGCCCTGGGAACGTAATTGTTCGATCCGAAACGCAGCGAGGCGAAATCCCCGGGAAACCTGATGCGCTCGCGCTCGCAGCCTGGAGCGTGAGAAGCTCTTAGGTTAATTAAGGCAAGGGTCGAGAGCGGTGCAGGAGAGTCGCCTCGACGTAGAGGGAATTCCCGGCCCTTTATGTACACCTGTCGTTACTCCCCGCTGGACGTTGCTGGGCTAGAATAAGTTGACGGAGCGGGCGTGTGAGAGAAGCACAGCGCAAGGACAGCTGAGTTCACACCAGCGGACGTTTGCAAGTCTCGCTGCTACACACTAACCTCGGTTAGTGTTCGTTTCGCCTAGGGCGGGGTCTGCAACCTTAAACACTCGGAAGAGCCATTTGGACCCGTTTCCCACAGAAAAGAAAACACCGGGAGCCACAAAACCCTTCCCGTGCCTGACTATTTCTTGAGCGGCCACAAAACTGGCATATGTAGTTGCATTAAACGTTCTGTTTTCTTCTGAAACTTTTCTTGGATTTATCCATGGTTGGCCTAACCGAGGGTTGGAAAGCTCAATAAATCATGTACTGATGGGTGTTGCACATTGCTTGTTGTGACGCATATTTTGAATGATGGAGAGCCACAGCAGAAGGGTGAAAGAGCCACATGCGGCTCCAGAGCCTCAGGTTGTTGACCGCTGGCCTAGGGGGTTGAGAGAGTGCACCCGCTCCTGAGGGAAATCGTGATAGCTATAGTAACACAATGCACTACTTACAGACAAAACTTAAGTTAACTGCGTTTGGTCAATGAATATGCTAAGCTTGGTCTTTGTTTCTTCACGGAATGGATGAGTTATCGTTCTAGTCCAGAGGTCTTCAACGTTGGCAGCCTAGCTGGCTGGGGAACTCTGGGAGTTGAAGTCCACAAGTCTTAAAGCTGCCAACGTTGAAGACCTCTGTTCTAGTCCAACCTCTTGTATGGTGAATTCAGCCCTGCTCCCCCATTTGAAAACTTCCAAGGAGGAAAACCATTACTGATAAGACGGGAGCTGGTTTCATTGCTCCCAATCAGTCTTCTAATAATTAGATCCTGGTCTACTCTTATTTTCAACTTAGAACAAGTTCAGTCAGCAGTTCCCACAGGCAAGATTGGTGGAAGATGTTAAAATAGGTAAGAAGGTAGTTCTGTCACTACCCTTTTTGGCTCTTTCATATAACAAGCTTCTAAATTTTTGCAGATTGTTCATACTTTTTTTTTTTGTTTGCAAGCTAAAGGAAGCCAGCTCCTTTTACTGTTCTTTACACTTACAGGGTTTAGTATAAGCCTAGTAGATGTCCTCTGAACCGTGACATGTCCTTGTCCGGCCAGGAACTGGACATAGTATAATCTACCTACTGGGATATTTAATGGAATCACAGTGGAATAATGACCTTCTGTGATTTGATTAGTATTTTTGTTAGTGCAACCCAATATTGCATTGGCCTTTTGAGTTGCTGCACCAGTTTTCTCAGAGTCTAGTGGTTCATTAGTACTACTCAATCTTCTTACAAGCCCTGCCACCTGACATACTGTAACTTCCCAATCCTCTACTTGTACATCTGACTTCTCCTACCCAAAAGCAGGATACTCCATTGGACATGAGTGAACATCAGCCTATTAAATTTGATGTGTTCAGGCACAATTTTGAATTGGGATTGTGTCCTGCAAAGAATTAGCCAATCCTTATAGTTTGGTATTACGCACGTATAAAGAGGTTGAGTAATCCTGGGCCCACCTCACCTGATGCTTCCTTGCAGGGAGATGATGAACCATTTATGAGTATAGGAGTCCCCTGTGGATTTCACTCTGCTAGTCATAGACAACTATAGGGGGCAGTGCTCATCTTCATTTCAAGGCCATTGAGCTAGCACTGTCTAAAGACATTTCCATGGTCATGTGGCCAGCATGACAGTGGAGCGCTGTTACCTTCCCCACTGCAGTGGTACCTATTTATCTACTTGTATTTGCATGCTTTCGAACTGCTAGGTGGGCAGGAGTTCACCCCATCCCATAGTGCTTGGTTCTCGAATCTGGGCTGCCAGCTTTCCAGTTGACAAGCCCAGCGTCTTAACTCTGAGCCACCATGCTGCCCTATTTATGAGTATATATATGGGATGAATTTGTTCAAGTTGCAAATCCAACATTGATTCTTCTGGACCACAATATTATGAGAGTTCTTGACTCGTGCTTCATTGAGATCAAGGTACACTAAGTCCCTGGTATTCCCATTGTCCACCAAACCAGTCTCTCTGCCATAGCTGGCTCTGGGAAACTTATGTTTATTTTTTTCATAAATTCCTTTAAGGTTACTATACCTTTATCAGTTCTAAACTGTCTTTCTGACATGGCATGGCAGGTTTTGCTTTTGAGTTTAGCATATTGTGCAAACCCTTAGCCTGTTTGGTTAGTTTATGATTCAATGTAGTGTGGGAATTGTAACTTTCTCATCTCCCTTTTCTTCCAGTTTCATTCTTAAGTGGCTCTTGGGTGTTTCCTGTCCCTCTTTTAATATAACAAACAAGAATACCTTATAAAGAATGAAGCCAATAAAGGAATAATAACTTTTGGAACTATTATTTTACCTATTGTTTGTCTTCTTTGCAGAATCATTTCTTTCTTTTTTTTTTTAGAGTGAGTAGGGGAAAAACTTTATACAATGTTCCATCAGTTCTTTATAATCTTTTTTGTTATATTTATTCTAATGCTTTCTAGTTATACAAAGAAACCTGTACTTATCCATTTTTACTTCAAAATAAATTCAATTGAGTTAAAGGGACTTGTTTCTAAATAGGTGTAAAAGTTTTTCAGAACTGAACATTGCTTCTTTAGGGAAGCCACAGAGGGTTTATTAAATATATTGAAATCCCCATCTCAAGGGCTTTCAATAACCTTTTTTTTCGATTTAAAAATGCAACTCAGTGATTTAAATATGAATGTGCTTAAATGCAATCACAATTTTGATTTTCTTTTGCCAACAAGATATTGGGTAGCTCTTCCCAATCTCTACAGGAATGTTCCAGATGTTGAGTCTCTCTAAAACCACAGCTGCTGTCAGATGATCCAGAACAGTAGTGGGTTTCAACATTTTTTACTACCGGTTCTGTGGGTGTGGCTTGGTGGGCATGGCAGGGGAAGGATACTGTAAAATTTCCATTCCCACCCCACTCCAGGGGAAGGATACTGCAAAATCCCAATTTCCTCCCAATCAGCTGGGACTTGGGAGGCAGAGAATAGATGGGGACGGAGCCACTCAGAATTTTTACTACTGGTTCTCCAGAACTGGTAAGAACCTGCTGAAACCCACCTCTGATCCAGAAGCACCATTTCCATTTCCTCTCATCAGGACAGCAAATTCATGACTTGCCTACAGCAGAGTCCCTGAACTGTTGTTAGGAGGAAAGGATCAGTGATGAAAACTGACTGCATTCTGCCATCATATTACATTGTAATATGTAGTCCTTGGTTACCTCTTGCAAATAGTGGTTTGAATCTACTATGGTAGAGCTGATGAAATAGGTATCATTCAGCACGTCGTTTTTTTCTTCTTCTTCTCTGAGTAGCTCAGACTTCCTTAGCACAAACAAACTTGGTGTTTGCATAAGAAAGGGCAGCGAGGGAAACCGGGAGACAGAAACACATCCAATGTAACCTCTGCTCAGCTGCTGTGAAAAGAGGTAATGAGCATAATGAGCTTACCCTTGTGAGACTACTCTGCCTTCAACCTCCCAGAGGGATTCACAAGTAGATAAGAGAAGCGTATGTCTCCCAGTCCAGCATCTAACAAGCTTTATATTGTCAGTTTGCCGATACAGCTACACCTCCAGTGTGATGCTCAACCTATTGGGCTGGGGCATATCTTTGGCAGTGAAAGGAAATGTACCTCTGGGCCAACTGGTTGCTATGCGTGGATGGTTTCTTGCTGCTATGACAGAATTGGAGCGACTGATCAGCAGTCAGTGGTGATTCACAATTGCAGAGTACATCCAACAGAGAGATATACATCTACTTCCCATTCAATTACATTTGTACTAGAGTTATAACCACAGCTTGTTGAATTTGGCTCAGTTAACACAACGTGCTCAATCATGACTCATAATTTAGCTACCAGAGGGGGTTCACAAAGATTCTAAACAATGGGTGCAGAATCTCAGTCCCCAGGTTTTCGGTTTCCATCATATGATGTCACCATCTTGTCCTTAATTAATTACATTTTAATTAAATTTAACTTTGCATCAAATTGAATTTCCTGGCCTTGCCTTTTTTTTTCTAACTGGTTCTATCTGGCTCTATCTGGTTTTTGCAGTGTGGCCTCTGGCGTACTATGTAAAATCCAGTTGTGGGACTTAGCTTAAATAAAAAATGGTGTTGCTATAGCAATAAGGGAGAATATTTATAATTTAGGGTTGAAATGGGGGGTGGGTGGGCTTGGTGCCCTCTGAGTTTGGTTGTCTTCTTGCAGATGTTTTATTACCCAAACTTGGCAATGCCATCAGTGCTAGTAAGGAGTGGGGCAAATCAGGACTTTCAGTCCATACATTTCTATATCAGTCTCAGTCTATTATGATGACTCTGCAGAACTAATGTGACCTAAGAAATCAGCATTCAAGGAGAGGAAGGAGGGAAGCAAGGTTCTTTTCCATACAGTACTGTTAATTTATTGCACAAATATTAAACCAAGATTCAGATTTGTCAAATACTAGTACTACTTCCATATACCATTAAATTAAACCACCTGAAATACCTGGAATCTGGTTCCAAGCATGGCCCAAACCTGGAATAATGAGATCACAGCTGCTTACCTGCCTATAAATCACATTTCCAAACTGCAGTATTCTCAACTGATTCCCAGCACTTTGCAGTATAGTAGCAATAAGCACCATCAACAACTTAAAATGCCCATGGTAGAATATAAATATATCAGGGGTGAAATG